TCATCTTGGGGCCCACTTGGGGACCTTTTGGAGCGTCTTCGAGGCCTCTTGGGCCGTCCAGAGGCGCTCCTTGACCGTCTTGGGCTCTTGGCAATGGGCTCCGCGAAGTTCTCCGGGTCGTTTGGGGCGTTGCAACTGTCCCAGAGACCCATGCGAAACACCCGGAGCGCCCGAGAGCGCCTGGAAGCGCCCGGGAAAGTGGCCGTTTCTGCAATGAAGAATTTACAAGCCTGGCTGCAGCAGCAGCACAGCTGTGAGCCTTGGAGAACTCCGCTTCGTGCCGGAGGCACGGTGGCGGACATTAAGGTGCGCAAATGTATTGGTGGATTCTCGCGCGCAATTGCTGATACATTCATTTCCAACCCACTGCGAGGCAATTCTCTGGCGCAGCACATTTGCATTGTGGCCGCGCGCGGCGTCGGACGGAGCCGGTTCGGACCCCTCAGTTACATTCAGTTCCTTTCAGTTACACTCAGTTTCTTTCAGTTGCACTCTGTTTCCCTCAGTTACATTCAGTTTCCCTCAGTTTCATTCAGTTTCCTTCACTTACACGCAGTTTCTCTCAGTTACACTCAGTTTCCCTCAGTTACACTCAGTTTCCCTCAGTTACACTCAGTTTCCGTCAGTTACATTCAGTTTCCTTCAGTTACACTCAGTTTCTTCACGGTTACATTTAGCTTTCCTGGCGCTGCGTTTGCGGCTTGGTATCCTACAACTGCAGCCTCTTTCTGACGCCAGGAACTGAGACGAAACTGAGGGAAAACTGAGGGGGACAGCGGCGCCCCTTTGTCAACACCTGCCTTCGCCCCCTCCTTTCAGTTTCCGTCAGTTGCGCTCAGTTTCCTCTCGGTTGCATTTAGCTTTCCTGGCACTGCGTTTGCGGCTTGGTACCCTACAACTGCAACCTTTTTCTGACGCAAGAAACTGGGACGAAACTGAGGAAAAACTGCGGGGGACAGCGGCGCCCCTGTGTCAACACCTCCCTTCGCCCCCTCCTTTCCCATCTTCTTCCGCCATCCTTCCTCGCTGCTCTGCCTCCCTCATGTTCCTTCCTCCCCCCTCCCTTATCCGTGTCCTGTTCCTGTTGTTGTTGCTCCTCCTCCTCCCCTCGTGCTTCGGGGCGTCAGGCTTTCCGGGGTCGCGACCTCATGGTGATGATGATGATGATGGTGATGATGATGATGCTGATGATGATGATGCTGATGATGATGGCGATGCGTATGACGATGAGGAGATGAATATGATTGTGACGGACAGCGGGGGTGAACAACATGATGGGTCGAGGACAACGAGGAAGAGGAGGAAGAGGAGGAGGATGGTGGTGGTGGCGATGGTGGGGGGGAGGAGGAGGAGGAGGAGGAGGAGGAGGAGGATGAGGAGGAGGAGGAGGAGGAGGAGGAGGAGGAGGAGGAGGAGGAGGAGGAGGAGGAGGAGGCGTGCGGCGCCGCCGGTTCTGGCTCACCACGCTGCGGCGCCGCGTGCTAAGCACGATCCGGTCCCACAGCGCACAGCGTCATCTCTTCGAGCTCCTGCCAGCCTCCCGCCCCGCGGAGCGGAGCGACACGCTATCAGCTCGCCAAGGCATAGCGTGCCGCCAGGGGCGCCGCTGCGACACGCTCAGCAAAAGTCCCTGGCCGTAGGCTTCTTGGCGGTTTTGGGCCTTGGCTGGGACTGCCAGCGCGTCCTTGTCGCCACGAGGCCAGGTTTTCCAGAGAACTATCGGGCAGGCTGCAAACGCCACGTTGGGCGTATCAGAAAGGGCCTTGCCTTCAAGGGTCGAAGGAGTTGTCATATCTTCCTCGGCGGAAGGCAGCGGAAGGGCGGCGGAAGGTCGTCGGAAGTAGAAGATGTCCCCCCAAGAGATGAAAACAATTTTGGGTTCAAGGTCTCCGAGACCGCCCACATGAGGGGTCCGAGGGGCCGACAGAAACAGGAGGGGCCCAGATTTCCAGGCGCAATCGAGGCATCATCGGGGGCGCCAGAGAGGGACTACAGGGCGGCAGTCGTCCGGGATTGCGGTTCCCATAGCTTAGAGTTATGGGAAACGCTATTGTGGCTCATCGAGTGCGGTTTTTGAAGGAAAACTGCGTTTCCCATCGCTCGCAAGGTGTAGGGCCTCGTCCAGGGAGGTTCTTTGCTGGCGTTTTCGAGGGCTCACTGGAGTTTTGCCAGCCTCCGGATGCTCAGCCGCAGCCGCGCCTCGCCAGGAGCGGCCCCCAAGTGTGCCTGGATCGTCCCTTGAGAGGCCGCCGGAGACCGGGTGTGGCGTCCTGAAAACACCAGGCGCCCGACAGGGGGTCAGGACTGTGACTTCTTCTTCTTCTTCCTCCTCCTCTTCCTCTTCTTCTTTTTCGTCTTCTCCTTATTCCTCCTCTTCTTCTTCTTCTTATTATGATTTTCCTATATTTACATTATTATGATTTTCTTATTCGTATTATTCGCCCTCTTCGTCATAACACTGATGGTTACCATTGTTTCTTGTTATGTTGTATTTGGTATTGTTTTCTTGTTATCATGATTGCTCTTCGCATTCGCATTTGTACTCGCATTCGTATTCGCATTCCTATTCGTATCATATGTATTTTTCTATACGTATTATCAGTAGTTGTGATGTCTATGATCATCAGAGTATGAGTATAATCATTATGTTCGTATAATTCGTATCATTCTTATCACTCTTATCATTAGTATTGACATTATTAGTATTAACCTTTTTGTTGTTCTTCTTCTGCTTCTTTGTTCAACACGCTCCAAGGCCCCCGCTCGTCCGCGCCCCATGCTTTTGGCCCCAATGCGCACCACCCCCTCTTCCTGGCCCCCCTGGGTCCGAGCAGATGGGGTTGGAGGATCGCGCCGCATCGTCGATGCATCGGCGATGCGGCCCGATGTGGAGCTCGATTTTCTCCGCGCTGGCGTCGTCGATGCATCGCCGATGTCGCCGATGCATCGGCGATGTATCGCCGATGTATCGCCGATGTGTCGGCGAGGTTGTCTTGAAAAATGAAGCCAGGATCGAGGACCGAGGATAGGATCGATGACCGAGGCGAGGATCGAGGACCGAGGTTCCAGGTTCGAATGCCTGCACTCCGATTCAGACTGATTGCGTCATGCCTTAACTCGGGTAGCTGAGGGAAACTGAGGGTAACTAGGTGTAACTAGGTGTAACTAGGTGTAACTAGGTGTAACTGGGCGTAACTAGGTGTAACTAGGTGTAACTAGGTGTAACTAGGTGTAACTGGGCGTAACTAGGTGTAACTAGGTGTAACTAGGTGTAACTAGGTGTAACTGGGTGTAACTGGGTGTAACTAGGTGTATCCGGAAGCGCTCTCATGGCGTTTGCTGCGACGCTCGTTGCCGGGACACTGCACATTTGCAATAGAGTTGCGCGTATGTATACGTTTACGGAAGATGTGTGGGCGTCGGGGGGGTAGCGTGTCACATCGGCCGCAGTCGCTTGCATGGCAGCTGTTCTGGCTGATTTTTGCGCCCTCCAGGGAGGGCAGGTCCGCCCCCGAGGACCACCGTGCCGCGCCCGCCGCCCGTGTGCTTCTGCGGCTGGTGCGCTGGACCCCTCGGGCGAGGGGAGTCGCTGGCCCTGGCCGAAGGCGGAGCCCTCCTGGAGGTCTGCGAGCTGGGCTACGTCATCGGGCTGACCCAGCAGGCGGCGTGGCGCGCCCGCCTCGGCGTGGAGGAGAGGGCGGTGCTGCTCGTGTCCGCCCGGCTCTCGGGCGCGCTGCTCTTCGCGCTCGCCGGCCTGGGGGGTCGAGATCGCCAAAGGCGAGGGCCGTCGCCAGGGGCAGGGCCGAGACTAAGGCTAAGCGAAAACCCTGGGGCCGAGCGCGCGGCCGCGGCGAGGGCGCGGCGCCGGCGGCCTCGGGCGAGGAGCCGCGGAGGGAGGCGGAGGCGCCGCCGCCTTCCCGCCGGCTGCTCCGGCCTGGCGGCGGCTGCGGCGGACGGCGGTGCTACGGCGGCCGCGCCCGCCGGCGGCGGTGCTGGCGCGTCTGCGGTGCCCGGCCTGGCGGCGCTGCCCGGCCTGCCCGACCTCGGAAGCGGCGCGGGTGCTGAGGCGCCCCCGGCTGGCGGCGCCGTGCCTGGGGTGGAGGCTTCCCCTCGGCGACGTGGGCGCTGCGCTGGTGGGGGCGCTCGCGGACGGCGGCGTCGGCCCCCCCCTGGTGGCCCTCCTCCGCGTGCGGCACCTGGGGGCCGGCGATCCGTGGACTGCCGATCGCGGTGGCAGCCGGGCCGGTCGCCCCCGCGGGCGGCGCGCGGCTGGGACCTCTCGTGGGTGGTCCGTGGCGGCAGCCCGTGGCCCTGATTGGTGCCGCCTGGCGCCGAGGTGCGAATCTCGTGCTCCTGACCTTCGTCACAGCTGGGGGCATCAGCGGGACTGCCCTGTTCGAAGTAAGAGAAGATCGGGGCCACGGACCGCTCTGAGCAGTACGATGCGCCCAGTTCAGGAGAGCGTCGCTGGTGGTCGAGGCGACGCGGCTGGATGGCCTGCCCCCGCCGCGCGGCGCTGGGCCTGCAGCCTCCTGCGCTCGTGCGGGCAGGGGCCGGCACTGTGCGGGGAGCCCGCCGGGCCAGGCCGAGGAGTCCCGCTCGTCGAGTGGCTGCGGCTGCGCTTGAACCGCGCGATCGTGGAGCCATGGGTGCGGCCGAGCACCTTCGGCGGGCGCGGCGGCGACGTGGCCTTGGCGGGGGCCGCCCCCCTCGGAGGCCCGGCCCCCGACCGCCTGGCGGGAGCTGCCGCGGCGCGCACGCAGGCTGCAGCGATGACGCCTGGTCGCGCCGCTGGCGGCCGCGGTCGACGCTGCCCCCGGAGCGCCCCAGGCTCGCACAGGGACGACGACGGTGAGTCGCGTTTTGCCGAGGCCCCCCTCCTGCGTCGGCAGCGTACGGCTGCTGGTGGCGAAGCGCCCAGGTGCCCTTCACGACGAGGCGATGATGAAGAACATCGGCCGCGTCATGGGTCTGCGGGAAGAGGGGCGGGCGGCTCGGAGGCTCGTGCGAAGGTCATGGGATACTTGCAGGTCGGAGGGTTCGGCCATCACCCTCCAGGGCATATGCTGATCAACGCTCAGCGAGTGCTGCAGGCGCTGGCGACCGTGCTGGACTTGCTGGAGGGTGGATGCCTGGCGGAGTTGTGCGACGTGCTGTGCAGCGGTTCGAGGTTCTGGAGCTGTCACTGGCCGACGCGTGCTGGCGGGTGGCGAGCGAGCTGGGATCGTGCCGGGCGCGCGGCTCTTCCTGGCCTCGATGGTCGAGCAGGACCTGGCGCGGCGCGTGGCGATGCTGCGCAGGAAGCTGCTGGACGCCAAGAGCTGCGGCAAGCTCGGTGGCAGGGGTCAGGGCGAGCGTCAAGCCCGACCCGAGGAGGCGGGCGCGGAAGCGGCAGAGCCGACTCGCCCTCGCCGAGCCGCCAGCAGAGCCGCGGTCGCGGCAGGAGCCGTGGGCGCGGCCGTGGCCGCTTCTTCCCCTGCGGGCGGGAGGCCCAGCTCGGCCTTGGGCAGGGCCGCAGGCGCAGCCCCGCCCGCGGGCCTCCCAGGCGCAGCGTGCTCAGGCAGCGCGGGCAGGTCGCCATCTCCGAGCTCGCTGAGGACGCCTCGAGGCGCCAGCCCGCACCTGAGGGTGGCGGACGAGCCGAGGCGCGTCTCTCTGGCGGCGAGCTCGGAGCGCCACGTCTTCAGGCAGGACCGGCCCGCGGCTGCGGCGGCAGCGGGCCCGCGGCACGGTCCGCTAGGAGGCCAGGCCCCCCCCTTTTCGACCGCCGCCGTGGCGGCAGGATGCGCCGGGGCCGAGGCCGGGGCGGCCTTCCTGCGGCGTGAGTGAGGCAGCGAGCCGGTGGTGCCGGCGCTGACGGGGCGCGTGCGGACGTGACCGCGCGTGCCGAGGTTGCCCGCTCGTGCAGACCGCCCTGGACTTCACCGTTGCGCTCGCCGTCTTCGAGACTGGTTCCTGGGCGTGATGGTGCTGCCACCGCGCGCCGCCCAGCATCCTCGCCGTGCCCGCCGATCTGCAGCGCGGATGCCGGCTGTGAGAGGGCAGATCCGCTGGCAGAGTGGGGCCAGTGGGCTGGCGCGGCGAGTGACCTTCTGTGAGAACCTTTCGACGCGGGCCCCATGATGTTGAACGTAGTCCGCGAGTTCCCAGGCTCCTTCGGTCTCTCAGCTGGATATTCCCTCGAAGTAAAGCCACGCGAGCATCCGGCCGACATGGGAGGTCGGCTTCAGCGAGATCTGTTGCCGTTACCACACCCTTCTTTCACCGGGTCCCAGATCGTCCAGCAGGGCGAGGACCGCTCTTAGCGACAAGGAGTGGGAAGGACTACACTGCAGGCGGGTGGTCGCTGTCCTGACGCTGAACTGGGAGGCTTGGTTCCGCTCCTCGAAGCTGGCCAGGCCCTGCCGAGGTCGGGCCTAGACCGCGCAGGAGGCAGCCCTGGCCGCTCTCGGTCGCCGCCTCCACTTGGCTACACGGGCCGAGTCGGCTCTGTCGCCAGATCTTGACTGGAAGTGCGGCTGAAGGATCCAAGTTCGCTTGCGGCGGGGACGAGATCTCGGCGCCACATTGGCTGACGCTGGAGCAGGGGCTGGACGGGCTGGCGCCGCCGGGCGTGCACGGGGCTTTCGGGGTGCCCGAGTTGCACGACGTGCCCGCGGCCTGCAGCGCGGGCGCAGGCCGACCCTGAGGCTGATCACCAACCTTATCCCGTCGAACGCGTGCCAGGAGTGGATCGTGGGAGTCTCCCCTGAGCTCCCGACCATGATCCAGCTGAACGGCCTGGTGCTGACCGAGTCGGAGGGTCTGCTGTGGAGTGGCGCGGACAAGGAGGCCTTCTTCTACGTCTTCGCGGGTCGCCTGCGCGGTGGCCTTGCACCGTTGTGGGCCCGGCCGTCCCCTCGGACTTGCTTGGCCTGAAGGACGGCGGGACCGCGCGCGTCTGCTTGCGGGTGGTCGGCCTGGGCTGGATCAGTTCCGTGGGCGTGACGATCCACCCCCACCGCAACCTGCTGCGGCGGAGTACCTCTGTCCCTCGCGGGCTGCCGCCCAGCGGGGAGGTCACTCGACGCCGATGGCTGCCGTTCAGCGTGGAGAAGCCATGCCGTGCGACGCGGGTGGTCTACATTGACAACCTGGAGGTCGTAAAGATCGCGTGCAAGTCCGCGGCCGCGACGCTGCGAGGGACGGTGCCCGAGCTCGTCTCCGAGGGCCGCGCCTGCTACGCGGCTGCGGGCCCCCCGGGGTCGCCGGCCGAAGATGTCCATCAAGTGCTGCGAACGACAACCTGGGGGGTGCCCGTCGACTTGGTCGAGGGCGCTCGGCGGCCTCCGCGGGCTGCCTGGCCGAGATGGCCAGCCTCGCGCTGTGGGCGCTGAGCTAGAGACGGGCCAGGAGGCGGGCGGTACGCATTCTGCTGGGCCGCTGGGTTCGAGTTCGCTTCTTCTTGGCGGCCGCTGGCGGCCAGCTTGGTCCTCGCCCGGAAGCGGCCCGCGAGCCCTCGCACTGGCGGCCGCTTCAGCGTGAGCCTGGTCGAGGATCTCTTGATGTGCCTTGCGCTGTCAGGGCTCTGCGTCGCAGATCCGCACCTCGAGGTCGACTCCCTGAGGACCGCGTCGGATGGCTCGGAGGCCGCTGGCGCCGTGATCTATGGCAACGCCTTCTCCGACCGTGGGCGCGCGCTGCCCGAGGGGCGGCAGCGACCAGCGGACGCCGCATGCGAGGAGGTGACCGCCCTCGTGAGTGGCTTCGGCGGGATCGTCGGCGGGTGCCGGGCTTCCGAGGTCCTCGGACTGGTCCCTGCCGTGCGCCTACCGCTCGGGTTGGCCCCACGGCGATGCGGATGGCTCGGCGCAGCTACCCCAGCAGGCAGCACCTGGGGGACGTGACGAAGGCGGACCCAGCGGCCCTGGCAGCCCTGCTGCGCGCCCGAGGCCGCGTGACGTGTGTGCTGGTGGTGGGTGGCTTCCCGTGCCAGGTCTTCGCGGGTCCGACGTCGCTCGGCAGGGCCTCGACGACCCGCGGGCGGGCCTGGCCGACCACATGGTGCGGATCGAGGATATGCTGCGGCGGCCATGCAGGAGGCGTCGATCGTCTTCCTCGGGGAGAACGTCACGTCGGTGCCCGAGTGCGCCGTGATTCGCCCGAACCAGCTCTTCGGCCGCACCCTGCCGGAGATCGAGGCTGGATGTCGGCTGGGTCCAACGTCCGCGGCTCCACTGGGTCTCGTGGGGCCTCCTGCCGTCGCTCGAGGCTGAGCCAGTCGTGGTGCGGGCCAAGACCCAGAACGCGCGGTGTGCCTGCGGGGCGGCGCTGGAGACGGAGCGGCCGCCGCTCGAGGAGTGGCTCCCGGCCGGGGCTGCGTGTTCAGGTCCCGCTGCGGGGGAGCTGCTGCCGACCCTCGGGCGCTGGATGCCGTGCTCGCAGCTGCGCCCCAGGCCGGCGGACATTGAGGAGTGCAGCGCTGCTGAGCTGGCGCGCTGGGAGGCGGCGGGCTTCGCTTCGCCGCCCTACCAGTTCAGTGGCAAGTGGTGCATGCACCGGGCGGACCACCGCGTCGAGCCGCCTGGCGCCAGGATACGAGAGAAGCTGATGGTCTGCCCGGAGGACCACACTGTGCCGTGCATGATGAGCAGCGAGGCGGAGACCGAGCCCGCCAAGTACAATGCTCTTCAACAGTTGCTCGCGGGCAACTCCTTCCAGTGCGAGGTGGTGGCCGGGATGATCAGCCACTGGGCCTTCGGTGCTGGGCGGCTGGTCCGAGTGCCCTCGCTGGGTGAGCTGCACGAGAGTGCGCGAGCGTGGCCTGCCGGCAAGATGCTGTGGGCCGGCGACGTGCCGTCGCTGCACTGTGGCCGCTCCGAGATCGACGAGGGCCTGCACGCCATACTGGACGCGCTGGCGGTCCCATCTACGTGGGTCGTGTGTCTCGGCAGTGGGCCCTGGCTGCCTCGCAGTGAGGCAACCCCCCTTCTCGGTGATCTCCGTGAGGTCACGGGAGGGCGCTGTTGCCCTGTTCGCTGGTTGGATCCGCATGCAACCAGCTCTCCTGCAGAGGTTGGAGTCGCTACGCGGGGCCCTGCTCGTCTGCCACTGTGGGTCCTGCCCGGCGTGCCGTACAACATCCTCTTGACAGAGTTTGCGAGGCCTGACGTGGAGGAGTAATGCGAGCTGGACGCGTCCAGACGCATCGTCAGGGGCTCGTCATGGCGTCCCGCAATGACGGAGCATACATCAGAACCGCTGGCGCCTGGGAGACGCTCAACGAGATCTTCCCGCGGGAAGCGTTCGCCCCAGGCATTGGGCAGTGGTGCCCACAAGGCAGCTACTGTGGGATGCAGCGGAATACGTCAACGCTCTCGGGTGCCAGGGCGCGCCGATGATGTTTCCCATGGCGAAGCGGTCAAGGCGCCGCCGCCAGTGCGTCTTCCTGCACCTGCTCGGCAGCATAGTCAACGCGGCGCGCTGTCCAAGCACCGCTTCAGCAGTCCTGTATTCCATGGTGATGCGGACCTTCTCGGCGTGGGAACTGGCGATCGGCGCGCAGGCGGTCTTCGGCTTCGCGTCGTCGGCTCGCAGCCCCGCGGACGCCCCCCCCCGCGTCTCCGCGATAGGGGAAGCGAGTGACCCTGCTGACCGCCGCGCTGCCAGAGCTGGGCTGGAGAGACGGAGAAAACGCCAGGATGAGCGCCTCGACACTGGCGCTCAGCTTTATGTTGACTACCTTGCTGCCAATGGTCTGCCGCTGCCTTTGACGTAGAACGTTATTGTGTTTGCCGGCGAGTTTACCCTGTGCACTTGTGGGCCGAAAGGGTGCACAAAAAGTCTTGCTAATGTCACCCTCAGCGGCGTGCACCACGTGCTGAGGTAAGGCGCCGCTATCCTGTGGCTTAGCAGCTGCTGACAGTCTAGAAGACTGGAGATCCCTCAGCGCGCGCCGCCGATGCCTGCCCAGTTCTGCACGGCGTTCGCGGATTAAGCGCCAGCCGCCGAAGGGGTGGCCTTCGCGGCCGTGCTGCTCGTGGCCTCCCACCTCTGTCTTCGCACTGGCGAGGATTTGGGGCTGTGCAGCGCATCATCTTTCTGAAGCCCTGTGGCCGAGGCGTGTGTCGTTGCCCTGGACCATTGCGTCTTGCCAGAAGAGCGCGCGGGAGCAGGCCACGCTCGACGACCCGCTGGTTGGCGCAGTCGTCCTCTACAGCTGCGGCGTGTGTGCCGGCTTTGGCCCAGCGACGCGCGCCTTCCTTGACTTGTTCCGTGCTTGGCTCCAACAGATCGGTGCCGGCACCTCGCCCTGTCACTTTACAGCCTGAGGCGCGGAGTACCACGCCAGCACTACCTGCCGTCGGGCGACCTGTCTCGTGTCCGTGCGTTTTGCAGCCCGTGGCCTGCTGCAACAAATCTTTAGTGACTGGTGCGAGCTGCTGCCAGAGCTGCCGTCGCCAGTCTTGATATTTCTTCGGCCTACGGCCAGGGGAAAAACACAGAATGGAGAGCTTCGGTGTCTTTTTCGAGAGTTGGCGAGCTTCATGGGCAAGGTCCTGCTGGGCTCTCAGGGGGGTTTCTTTACTGGGCCCCCCCCAAGGCCGTCGAGCCTCCCCTGGCCCCCGAGGCCGTGGAGCGTTCTGGCCCCAGTCTTTCGTGATGGTGGTCGACCCCAGTCTGCGGATGGTGGTCTGCGAATCCAGCTCTGGCCTCGGGGTGCGGTCTGTGCTCTGGCGTGGGGGCGTCGGTCCGTGCAAAAGAGAGTAAACCTTTCGAGCTCCGTGCAGAGGCCTCTGTAAATGTAAATACAAGTGCCCATCGGAGTTTAAGCTTTGTCAACAGCTTTGGCCGATGAAGAGGGAAAGAGATTTCTCCTTAAGTCAGTAAGCTTTCGCTCACCCCCCCCGCCTGCCCCACGCATGTATACGTTTACGGAAGATGTGTGGGCGTCGGGGGGGTTGCGTGTCACATCGGCCGCATTCGCTTGCATGGCAGCTGTTCTGGCCCACCCACATACCGCCCTAAGTGGCAATGTAATTAGGTATCGCGAGAGCTCGAGCTTCATGGGCAAGGTCCTGCTGGGCTCTCAGGGGGTTCTCTTTGCTGGGCCCCCCCCAAGGCCGTCGAGCCTCCCCTGGCCCCCGAGGCCGTGGAGCGTTCTGGCCCCAGTCTTTCGTGATGGTGGTCGACCCCAGTCTGCGGATGGTGGTCTGCGCATCCAGCTCTGGCCTCGGGGTGCGGTCTGTGCTCTGGCGTGGGGGGGTCGGTCCGTGCAAAAGAGAGTAAACCTGTCGAGCTCCGTGCAGAGGCCTCTGTAAATATAAATACAAGTGCCCATCGGAGTTTGTCAACAGCTTTGGCCGATGAAGAGGGAAAGAGATTTCTCCTTAATTCAGTAAGCTTTCGCTCACCCCCCCCGCCTGCCCCACACATATATACGTACATGTTCATATACATATATATATATATATAGATTGTTGCAGTACCGTTGCAGTACCTTTTTTCCGCTGGACCTCCTTGGGTCGACCGAATCGGCGGCCTCAAAGGGCCACAATGACCGAACGGGGTGTTCTCATTCTCGAGCCCCTTCTGCTGTTTGAAGGCGACAGAGTCCGCAGACCCATCGGCGCCGCACCGCCCCTTTCCGCCGGGCCCTGGCGCCGCCTCCCTGCGCGCGCCGAGCAGGGGCGCCCGCGCGGAGCTCGGGGGAGTCGCGCTTCTGCAGTTCCCCCCTCCTCTGCTGCGGTCGGGCCGAGGTGTCGGGCCGAGGCCGGCTCGGGGAGGGTGCCCCAACGCGAAGAAGTCAGACGGCATAAGCACAGAGGCTTTGTGCTTACGCCGCGCGGAGCGACAAAAGCTTTGAAAGCTTTTGTCGCTGCGCGCGGGTTGCTGTGGATCCGCGCTGAACCCGCCTCCCTGGCGCGGTCAGCGCGCCAGGGGCGGCGCCAGAGGTGCCGCCGGGGGGGCCCAGCGCGGATCCAAGAAATCCGCGCGGAACGGCCACAAGTTCATGGTTGTGCCGTTCTTGCTCTTCCTGCTGATGCGCTTCGTGCTGGGTGCGTGGCCCTGTGCATATACCCCCGGGAAGGGCCCCCTCGAGTGCTCTCCAGCTGGGCCGGCGGAGGGCCGCGTGTTCTCGAAGGATCGGTTTCTGCTGTCCGAGGTCCGACCGCGGCCTCGAGCCCCCCACCGCCTTCTCCGCCACCGTTCTCGACTAGACGTAAGAGTGACCTTTCGCCGGAGTGACCTTTGGTGCGGGCACAGATGGGCCCCCCTATGGCTGACAACGAAGCAGTAGCAGCTGCTTGCGCGCCCAGGCTTGGTCCCCCTGCGGCCCCCCAAAGGGTCACTCTTATGTTTTTGGGGTGCAGGACCTTGCAGGATCCTGCAGGATCCTGCAAGGCCTGGCTGGCCCTGGTCTGGATTGACCCGGGTCGGCAGATCCCCGACTCGGAGGATCGTTCTCTGCTGTCCGAGGTCCGACCGCAGCCTCGAGCCCCCCACCGCCTTCTCCGCCACCTTTCTCGACTAGACGCCGAGCGCGAATACTTCGAAATGGGCGTCCAGGGCCCTTGCATCCTTATCGCGCATCCTTACTGTACGGGTTGACTGTACCGCCGCCCAACAAATACCCTCGATCCCCAATCCATGTTGGCACGTGCCCAGACCGAGAAGCCATCGGGGCGGGGACCATCCCCTGGGCCGTCGTGCGGTACCGAGAGGCGCTCGGGCGTCCACCGGGCACGAGGGGGCGTTGCGGTATGCCCCCCCCGACGTTCCTGCTCGAGCGCCGCTGGGCTCGGAGCGCGCAGCGGCTGCGTGCGCGGCGGCGGCGACCGACGCCGCCCCGCGGGCGGGCGCGGCCGCCATGGACGGCCTGTTCTCGGCCGCCTCCTATGCGGTGTCGGCCACCGCGGCTGCGCCGGTTCAGGCCCTCGGCAGAGGAGGAGCACCTCGAGGTGGAGGAGGAGGAGGAGGAGGAGGAGGAGGAGGAGGAGGAGGAGGAGGAGGAGGAGGAGGAGGAGGAGGATGAGGAGGAGGAGGAGGAGGAGGGGGAGGAGGAGGAGGAGGAGGAGGAGGAGGGGAGGAGGCGGAGGAGGAGGAGGATGAGGAGGAGGAGGAGGAGGAGGAGGAGGAGGAAGGAGGAGGAGGAGGAGAGGAGGAGGAGGAGGAGGAGGAGGAGGAGGGGGCGAGGAGGAGTTAAGGAGGAGGAGGAGGAGGAGGAGGAGGAGGAGGAGGAGGCAGGCGAGGAGGGGAGCGAGGAGCGAGAGGGGGAGGGGAGGAGGAGGAGGAGGAGGGAGGATGAGGAGAGAGGAGGAGGAGGAGGAGGAGGAGGAGGAGGGGGAGGAGGAGGAGGTTGCAGGATGGTCGAGGTTTTTCCTCTATTTTGGAAGTTGGCGGCCCGCTTCGGGCCCCCCCGGGGCCGCCAAACACATCGATCCGGGGCGAAAGCGTATTGGTGGACCGCGGGGTCCGGGGAAGGATTTGGACTGGACGTCGAGATCCAGAGAAGGCGGAGAAATCATAATTACCGATAGTCGATGATAGCCGATGCCCTTCCCTCGATTTGGACTTCGGGGGCCTCTTGCGTCGCCACGGCTGGATCCGCCTTGCAATCCTGGTCAGAGGGGCCAGGAGAGATCCGGATGAATGGCGGTATCGGTATGTTTTGTCGCCCTAAGGCTGGCGCCTTCGTGGGCGGGGCCGCCCAGAGGACGACGGGGATGGCCATGACCAAGGTGTCTGTCAAGAAGGAGATGGCGAAGGCGCCGGGGGGGGGGGCGAGGAGGGATGATCGAGGTACGATGATGGTGATTTTTTAGAGCGCTCGTTGCCGTTCCTGGGTCCCTGTACCTTCCCGGGGAAGGCGCTGCTACTGGATATGGCCAAGCCGCTCCGCGACAGCGTCATGCAGAGGCTGCGGGCAGTGGTCTTCGGCACGATGCTGGACGATCCGGACATGAAGCCGGACATGAAGAAGTACTTGACGGAAACAGTTGAGCTTTTCTGGGGAGAAATCCAGGCTGAGATCGAGAGCTCGATAGAGTCCGCGATGCTCGCGCAGCGAGAGAGCGCAATCGAGAAGGGCCCAGAAGGCGGGCTGTTTTCCATGGTGTGGCTCCGGGTCCGCAGGTGGATGTTGTACCATTACCTCCCCTTCGACAAGTCCATATTCGGGAAATTCAAAGATCCTGTGTACCTAGGGTTGTTCGCCGCGACATGCCTCCCAATACATGGTCTGCGCATCGGCATCTTCGTTGTTCTGCTCCTGTTCCTCCGCTTTCCTGGCCCCGCCGACGAGTTCCAGATGCTGAATTACGTGGTCTGCTTCAAGGGATTCCAGTTCCTGAGTGGCGGCTACATCTGCATGGCATCTGCTGGGATGACGTACTACAGCTGCTACTGCCAAGGTAAGGACAAAATGCTCGAGTGCATGGACACATCGGGCCCTGGGGGTTACCCTGTGTGGGGCGAGGGCGTGGACTACCTGGGCAGCATCGTGCTCCCATGGATCGCGATCATGCTCCTACGCGGGACGAAGAAATACGCCAAGGTGGAATTCCTCGGCCGCAGCAAAGCAAAGGCACAGCAGGGGGACCCCAATGCATCGGGCAACACTGCAGAAGCGCTACCAGAAGAACGGACTGCGGTGGACTCGATCTGGCTGCGCAGGCTCGTCTTGTGGGACGTCAAGTGCTTCGCGTTCTCTATAGGCGTCCTGGTGGTTGGCTCGCTCCTCTCCTGCGACTCTGTGAGAAGCAACCAATTTGCTACCAACGTCTTCTGGTGCCGCGTTCTGTACTCCTTGCTGACGTTTCCGTGGACGATGTTCGCGATCCCTGCAACGCTACAATTGCTCACGCACTGCTGCCCCACTGGCTACAACCACTTGGGCGCTTGCGTGAAATTTGCCATCAGCGCGGCGCCAGAGCCACCGAAGCCCAGGCGAAGGGCGAGCAACATCCCCGGCGACGACAACGCCGCGGAGGCTGGCTGCTTCGGGGGCGCGGGCGGCTCCGGTGCGACCGGCGACGGCTTTGCTGCGGAGCCGGACGAGGACGATGAGCCCGAGTACCACGCCACGTCGGGGGCGCAGTACGGTCAAGTGAACGCGGCACAGTCGCTTTTGTGTTCCTACGACAGGTTCTAGGTCGTGCGTGCTATGCGGAAGAATCGTCCGCTCTGTTGTGCGCCCGCACTTTGATGAAATGTGCTGGGTCATGCTGGATGCAGGATGTTATCCTGGATTCGGCGCTGCGCGACCGCGCTCATTCTAAATCATACTTTTCCCGCTGGCGATTTGTCTGTCACATCAGAGATAGGGTTCTGGTTCCTGGCCTGCCAAACAGGCGGTCATCTCGATATCTGCGCGCAGCGCTGCAGGACCGTGATGACATGGAGAGCCCAGTGCAGTCTTGGTCTACGTGTGCGTGTGCGTGCGCGTGTGTGTGTGTGTGTGTGAATGTGTGTGTGTGCGCGTGTGTGTGTGTGTGTGCGTGTGTGTGTGTGTATGTGTGTGTGCGCGTGTGTGTATGTGTGTGTGCGTGTGTGTGTGTGTGTGTGTGTGTGCGTGCGTGCGTGCGTGCGTGCGTGCGTGCGTGCGTGCGTGCGTGCGTGCGTGCGTGCGTGCGTGCGCGTGTGCGCGTGTGCGTGCGTGCGTGCGTGCGTGCGTGCGTGCGTGCGTGCGTGCGCGTGTGTGTGTGTGTGTGTGAATGTGTGTGAATGTGTGTGAATGTGTGTGTATGTGTGCGTGTGTGTGTATGTGTGTGTGTGGGTTTTCGCTCGCTCACCTCCCTGACACGCTCGAGCTATCGCTCGCGGACCCGCCGCCCCCCGGCCAGCTCGTACCGCACTCCTCCACGTCAGCCTCGGCGTGCCTTGCCTCGACCTCACGGCGCTCGCTCGCCTCGGGCTGATCACCAGGGTGAACCTCCTGTGCTGAGCGCCTGCGGTGCAGCCTCCCGCCTCTGGTCCCTGCGCCCCTCGCGGGCCCACCATGGCCGTCCCTCGCCCCCCCCCCGTGGGCTGTTCACCGGCGACGCCCTCGCTGTGCTGCACGTCCGCCGCCTCTGCACGGCGCCGCTCTCTCGCCTCGCCGCCTCCCCTTGACTGCGAGCCCTGCGCCTGCTCTCTCGGGGAGCATGGGCACGTGGCCGAGGCTGGGGATGGCCCCGAGGCTGGCATGAAGTCGGGCATGTCCCTCTACAGGGGGAATATGCAAAAACAGCCCAACCAAAGTCAGGGGACGATCTGTTTTTAACCCATGTTTGCTATGTTGAGGTACTTTTTTGGTGTATGTTTCGATCTTCTGTCCAACATCCGCCTGCAGGGGGACATGCCCGACCCGAGGCTAGCACCCAGCTGGCATGCTTGCCGGAGTCCGCTCCGACGGCTGGCCTCCCGCCCGGGCCTGCCTCGGCCGCCCCGCCCACCTCCGGCCGCGTCCGCTGGGCGGCCGCCCTGCCTGCCGCCTCGAGATCGCCGGCGCCTCCCCGGCGCTCCTCCGGGCCCGGGACGCCGCCGCCCCCTGGGCTCCCCAAGGGCTTGTCGACTTTTCGCCAATCGACTTGTGGGGACCGAGCCTGATAAATCCAGGTAAATCCAAGTGGCACGGCGCTCCTCCTCCCCCCGCCCCGCTCCACTGGCCCGGCCCTGCCACCCCGCCCCGTGGGGGTCTGGCGACTGCTTTTCTCTGAGCGGCGCGCCCGCGTCGGCCGACACCATCAGGGCGTGGAGTGGCTCCTGTGCCCGCGAACGCTCGAAAGTGTTTGGACGTGCGTGTGTGTGTATTGTGTGTGCGTCGTGCACACGTGTATGCGCACTTGTGTGCGCATGTGTGCTGTACGAGTGCGTGTGTGTGTGCGTGTGTGTGTGTGTGTGTGTGTGTGTTGTGTGTCATGTGTATGTTGTGCTTGTGTGTGTGAGAGAGAGAGAGCGTGTGTGCCGGCGGACAGAGACAGCGTCCGCTTCGCTCGCAACGAGGGTGAGTGAGTGTCTGTGTGTGTGGCTGCAGGTGGCGGTTTTGGCACGCCTTCTGTTTCCGTTCAGTCGTGCGGCCCACGTTGCTTGCGCCTGCGCCATGTTGTCCGCCCCCCCAGCGGCCCTGCTTGCCTCTGTCGTTTCTTGTATTGTCCTGCATCTCATGGTTCCTCCGCCCTGGCTTCGCCTCCTCGCGTCTACTGGGGGCTTTATATTCTTGCCACCTGCAAGCAAGCAAGCGAAGTTTAGTTGCTGGCTGCACCAAAGCCCAATCTCGCTGGCTGGGCCTCACTAGCGCGTCGGGTGAAAGTGTGTGCGTGTGTATGTGTGTGTATGTGTGTGTCCCGCCAGTGTTCAGAAGATTGGTACAACGTTGCGGAGCAGGACGCTGTGTGTGATGTGTATGTGCGTGTGTGTGTGTGTGATGCTGCTGCTTCGCTCGCCGACTGCAGGCCGTCGGCGCGCCAGAGGAAGAAGCATGTTTGCGTGTGGTAGTGGTTCGATCGCAAGTGTTTGCCATTATGTATTGTGCATGCGTTGACTGAGCCGAGCCAGATGCTGCCACGTTGTTTCCCGAGGCGCTCGCTTCTGGAGGGCACGCGACCTTAACGCGCATGCCAACCCGCTCGCACGGCTCCTCTTGATGGTCCGTCTTCTGTCTTCCCCTCCCCTCCGTTGGTTAGTGAGGCGCCTGAGTAGGCCTCTCCCCTCCTCCGCCCCCTCCCCCTCGGCCTCCCCATCTTCCATCTTCTCCTTTCGACATTCGTCCTTCTCTTGCTGCTGCTCCTTTCGCTGTGCTCAGGGGTGCGAGTTCCCCCTCCTCATCCGCATCCTCCTCCCTTCCCGCCACGGCCTCGGGAGGCGTGTGTCTCGGGAGATCCTCCTGATGCTCGATCCCATCGGCATCGGGGGGATATCTTCTTGCTGCTGCTCCCTGTCCTCCCCTGGCTCCTCGCCTTCCTCCTCCAGCTGCTGCTGGTCTTCCCCCCCTCGTGCCTCCAGGAACCTCATGGGCATCCCCAGGAACCTCATGGGTATCCTACTGTATCCTTCCTCCTTCTCCTCCTCCTCGTCATTCTGCCTCCTCCTCCCAGCGCGTTGGCGAGCAGTACGACTGAGTACAGCACCACGAGTGTGACGAGCACGACTAGTACCAGCAGCAACACTACGCCCAGCACGTCGGCGAATAGTACAACCGAAAGTAGCACCATGAGTGGGACGAGCACTACTAGCACCAGCAGCACCACTACGCCCAGCAGGTCGGCGAGCGGTACGACCGAAAGCAGCACCACGAGTGGGACGAGAACATCTGGCACCAGAAATACCACTACGCCCAGCGCGTCGGCGAGCAGTACGCCCGAGGGCAGCACCACGAGTGTGGAGAGCACGACCGGTACCAGCAGCACCGCTACGCCCAGCGCGTCGTCGAGCACTATGACCGAGAGCAGCACCATGAGGGTGACGAGACCACCACAACCTCGACCACCCCGACATCGACGACGACTAACGCAACGCCCACGACCAACACGACCACGACCACCGCTAAGACCACGACGACCACCACCACGACCACGACACCTGGACCACCACGACCAGCACCGAGATTACGCAACGCACGACCATTGCCGACGCCACGACCTCGACCTCGACAACGACGATTCGATCACGACAATGACGACCACCACCACGGTCACCACTGACCGACACCAGCGTGACATTCTGACATCCAGGAGTGGCGCGGGACGACGTGCCCAGGTGGGAGCAGTACAAGTGAGGCGAGCAGGGTTGGTGTGCTCCCCACCCCTCTTTTCCCCTCCCCTCCTCCCTCCGCCGCCTCTTCAATTGGCGCATGGGGCGCCTCGTGCAACTTGGGGCTGCTGGTGGGCTGTGGGCCGCCCGGTCCTGCGAGTCGCTTCCGTAATTAGGAGGCCGCTCCTGGCCCGCGCAGTCGCCGTCACCGGCGTGTCTCCATGCGGCCTCGCCGCACCCGCGTAGCTTAGCTTTGCTTTTACATCTTATCTGGTGTGCGATTCTCGCCCAGTTTCCTCGCGTCTTGTTTCGGCGCCCCACTCATACAGGGATGCCCGTGCCTTCGTTGTGTGCTGTGCTGCCCCCGCTTGCCGGCTGTTGTGTGCGACCTGCTTATATTAATGGTCGGTGGGACCATGTGGGATTGCTCTTTAGTTGTGCTGGTTTTGTTGTTGTGGCCGTCTGTGCCATAGGGGTGTTCACACAACTTTGTAGTTCGCTCGCTCTTTGCAGGCTCGGGCCCATAGGTTGGCACGCCTCTGACGGTTTGGCCATTGTGCACTTCCTTGCCGCCCGGCGAATCTGCTTGGGCATTTAATGTTTGCCGGTGCTTCTCCGGTGGAGGAGCCATGGGCAACGGCTTCCAGCAGTTGGGCACTGATGGACTGTAGTGTTGGAGGGGCTTGGTGGCGTTGTGGTTGGGGGAAAAAAAATCTGCCTCCTCCTCCCCTTCCTCCTCGTCCTCCTCCTCCTCCTCCTCCTCCTCCTCCTCCTCTTCCTCCTCCTCCTCCTCCTCCTCCTCCTCTTGCTTTGGAGGGGCTCAGGATTATGCGGGCGCAACAGTTATGCTGATTCGCTGTGTTGAAGTCCCAAACACTGCGTTTTGGCACGATTCCGGATCGTCAAGACGCAGCAGTCAGGTTGATAAGTTGCGTTAGAATCCCGAGAACATTGTTTTGGCACGCTTCCGGATCTCCAAACTGTTATCATCCAGCGAGGCAGTTCCCTCAATGGAAAAGAATCGTCGCAGGGGCCTACGAAGAGGGAGCTTGGAGGGAGGGTTCATTCCAACACTGCTAATGACTCTTGGGTTTCCACTGGTCCTCCTCCTACTCCTTCTCCTCCTCCTTCCGGGCACTGACAGAACGCCCCTCCCGGACAAGTCGACCAGGAAATCTGCACTGGCTCCCTCGGCACCAGCGTTCGGGTCTGCTGGTGCAGTCCCCAGTCGGCTTCGCCGCTCGACGTGCATTTCGCCCGATGCAGTCGGTTGTTTGTGGATGTCGGTTAGCTACCCCCGCCGGGGTCCACTCGGAATACGGTGCCGTCCGCGCGCGGAGTGCCCCGGGCAGCTTTCGCTAAATGTTCTAGATGCTGTTTTGCCTGTCTTCGACCAGGGCGACATCCAACCTTTACCGCGAAGCTCTCCTTCTCCTTCGTCCTGCCTCCCTCCTTTCTCTATCCTTCCTCCCCCATCCCCATCCTAGTCGCCTTCAACGGCCACCCTGTTACGCCCGCCTCATCCCCCAGTCTCCTGCTACATAACTCCTGCTGATGCTGCTCCCCCTCCATGACCTCCACATGCATTAGCACACCCAGATTTAAGCCCCAGAGCCGCTCTGGAGACTTCCATTCTCAATCACAACGTTCATCGTTCCTCCTCTCCCCATCTACCTTCCTTTCCGCTCTCCCCTTTTGATCCTTCCTCCTTCTCCCTCTCGCTTCATCATCCTTCTCCTCCCCCTCCTCCTCCTCCTTCTCCTTCTTCCTCTTTCCTTCTCCTCCTCCCCGCTGCTCATCATATTTCTCGTCCTCCCGCTCCGTCCTCGTTTCTCCTCCTCCTCCTCCTCCTCCTCCTCCTCCTCCTCCTCCTCCTCTGTTCACTGCTGCTCCTCCTTCTCCTCATCTTTGCTCGTCCTTCCTCCTGCTCATTGTCCTCGTCCACCTCCTCTTTCCTCCTTTCACTTCATCCTCGCATTCTTCTTCCTTCGCCCCGTCCCCCCATCGCCTCCTCATCCCTTCGCCTCCTTACTCTGCACTCCCCTCCGCCTCCTCCTCCTTCTCCTCCGCATGCTCATCCTCCCCCTCATCCTTCCCTTGCTGCTGCTTCTCCTCATCCAGAGGTCTCTGCATGCACCAAAAGGCTCCCAGAGGCCCAGACACTTCCAAACGTGTCCAGTCGCCTCGATGATCGGTGCTATATCCTCGGATGCTCCTTCCGAGATCCCCGATATCTCGGTTTTCGGCATTTCCAATAAGCGGGCCCGGGAGGTTGATCGCCGCCAAGAGGAGGAGGAGGAGGAGGAGGAGGAGGAGGAGGAGGAGGAGGAGGAGGAGGAGGAGGAGGAGAGGAGGAGGAGGAGGAGGAGGAGGAGGAGGAGGAGGAGGAGAGGAGCCCATCCCTCCCACCGCTCCTGGACCCTCCCTGGGGGGGGGAGGACGAGGAGGATGAGGAGGAGGAGGAGGACGAGGAGGAGGAGGAGGAGGAGGAGGCGGGGGTCGACCGTTGTCGGCACCCCGCCCTCGCCGGGGGGAGTGCTCTCCGCCAGGATCTTTTGAGGCGGGCCCAGCCGTGGCCACGAGACGCCACCCCCCCACTTCGAGCAGGGGATCGACGACGTCATCGATCTACCCCTAGATTGATTTCCCCCGTCGAATATACGACGACTGCGCAGAATGTTCGTCCATATGTTGGAACGTGCAAGTTTTTGTTAACAGATTCGACGAGGAAATTGGCCGTGGAGTGAATCACTTCTGTAGTCGATCCCCTACTCGACCAATGTGCCCGAAAGAGCGCACCAAAAATCACCCACAGACCTCGAACATCGGTCCTGGACGATCTTCAACGGTCCTCGTCCCCCACCTCGAAGAAGAACTACAGGCCTCGGAACAAATTAGCGAACACATGCCACATTCATCCGTCAACGCCTCCCCCCCCCCGATGTTCAAAGTTAGCGGTGGGTCTGATGAGATGCACTTCGACCGCAGTCTCCCCCGCGCGTGCCAACATTGAGTTTGGGGGGGAGGGGGAGTGTTCAGTAATTGTTTCCCTCTACCGTATCGACCGACCGCTGTTGGCGTAAAAAAACGCCCATCCACAGACGTTGCGTCGACGGTGCCGCCCGGACCTTCCATTTGAATGTTGCGTTCGCGGACGTTCTCGGTGTGAAAGCATCGACATAAAAAAAAACGCCCCAAACTCCACCACCAAGGCAACCTTATGTTTACCATTCGGGTTCTGAACACAGACGCGTTGTCCATTATGCCTCTTGGGCGTCTGTTTACGCTAACGGCGCTACGCGCAGACTTCTTGGATCGGCGTTGGCATTGCGATCTCACCCCCTTTCATCTCCGACAACTACACATGCGTGTTCTCCTTGAGCGACGATCTTGGATGTCCATCCTGGACGTCCATCTTCGACGATCCCTTCCGCGCGAGGAGTGCAGTCTCGGCTGCGGGGGCGTAAAGTCGAGCGTGATCGTGAGCAGACTTGATCGTTTTCTTATTCATGGTTTTGCCGATCGGCGCGGGCCTTCGTCCCCCCCCTGGAGTAGATCTCGGCCGTTTTGGGGCCCTGTCTCAAGCAGGTGGACGGCTCCCCGTAGGATTTCCCATGGTAGCCTTGTTCCAAACAGTCGCACTACAGTCGGGGCGCTGAAGAAGGAACCCTCTTCGTTTGGGAGGGGCTCCGTGTTCCTCAGCTGTTCTACAGTTCGCCTCAGGTTTCCCTTCGGTTTTCGATAGGAAATCGAAGTTCAACTTATGGAACAAAGGGGCCCTGTTCCTCATTGATCCTTCCTTAGGTCAACGCCCCAGTTGTAAGCAGAGGTCCATAGCCAGCTCCCCCCCCCCCTCCTTCGCTCAACGTCAAGCGCCGAATCAGAAAACGCTCACCTCCCAAAGACCGCGAGTCTCGATCCTGGGCTGAAGTCGGGCCTGTCTCTCT